ACTCCTAAATGTACAGGGCTAGAGGGAACCCCAAGACCGAATAGTTCACCCTCATTGCTTGGGATGTAAGAAACTGATGTCCAAAGAGAGGAGAATCTTGACCAAAAAGCAAAGAATTGAACAACTAGTTATTATAAGAAAATGATCATCATAAACATTTCTAATAAGAAAGAGAAACACTACTCACTGGCATTTGCTGGCTGTTACCTGGAGCTTCTCCGTGTCTCCATTTCCTCAGGTGTAAACTTGAGATAATGCCCTCTGTCTCACAGGGCTGCTAGGAAAATGAAGTCCCTGACTATTTATAAAGCACCTAAGAAGAACCCGAAAACGAGTGCTTGATAGACATCAGCTGTCATCATTATTGTTAGTATTACCACTCCTGTTGCTAGTTCAGAAGTCTTTCTCGGGTGAGTGCAGGTTTGCTGGTACCCCGGAAGCCTCCCTCCCCTGCATGCCAGCGTGTCGCAGGACACAGATCCAGCAGTAGGCAGAGTAGAGTGGAGCTTCTGCTCCCGGCCAAACACAGGAGGCAGCTGGGAGGGTCTGATCTCTCCAGCTAACAGTCAGTCATTTCTGAAAGCACGAAAGCATCCATTTTCACATCGCACTAAAAAACTCCAAGGGTGAAACTGTCAGCCAAACCTTTCTCCAGTCCCAGTTTTTCTCTGTTAGGAGCCTGGACTCTCACTTGGCGGTTTCTAAACCTGGTGTAAATAACTCTTTGCCTGAATTGCTGTAAAAATTAAAACTACTTGAAAGAACTTTCTGAATTATAAGTGTTACAAAGAATCATACATTCCTTAAAAGCATAGTCATTATAATTGTAAAACATTTTTTCTTATCTTGAAATCCCTAGGGGTTAAAAAAAAAAGTCATTCCTGATTTCTTCCAAGAATCTTCCACTGACCACAGAACTGGAATATGTTACCAGGATATTCAGGAAAACGTGCTCAAAAGAATGAGCTCGGCACTGAGCACTGGGGGTTGGGGATCCTCCCCCCGACACCCCCCGCTTTTCTCATGAGCACCTCACGGGGCTCTGGCATATCACTTAGGTTCCCAGCACCCTGTTTCCTTGCCTGTAAAGTGCTGGGTGCTACAGAGGACTTCTCCCCTCTAATGCCACACTCATAAATGTCACACATATGTCCGTATGAATCATTAAAACCTAGTACACTTTAGAAAATTATTTAATAAAATGTCTCACAAGCAATTCACTTAATGGAGAGGGTTATAATTCTCGATAAGCAATTCACGATATTCGGGGACTGACTCCCAAAACACTGCGCAGCCAGGTCTAGGCAAAGACTTCAAACCCCAAGGTAACAACTTCATCAAGGAGGCTGGGCCCAGGAATTATTGTAACCATTTTGCAAAGGAATATCTTGGAGGCAAAGAAATAACGTAGCCTGCTTCCCCTAGGGTTGACGGTCCACACACATGGCACTCCTGCTTCTGCAATGAGCTCAGCCCAGCCTAGGGGTGACCAGCACCCTGTGGCTTGTATGCACGTTGAAAGTTGGGGTACCCTCCAATGCCTGCCTCAACTCCCTGTCAAGAGTAGAAAGCTTGCCAGACATTGGAGGGCATGCCTGTAATCGCAGCACTCTAGGAAGCTGAGGCAGGAGGATCACAAGTTCCAGCCCAGCCTGAGCAATTAGTGATGTAGCAAGACTCTGTCTCAAAACTTAAAAAAAAAAAAAAAAAAAATTCTAAAGGGCTGGGATGTGGTTCCTGGAAAGGCCTGGGCTTAATCCTCCACACCAGAAAAAAAAATCAGAAAGCTCTGCTCCCAGTCATCATTCCCTGGACTCCCGGACAGAATCGAGGTAGTTTCTCCCTGTTAAAGACCTATGGAGGACTAGTTTCCAGAGAGAAACTTCCTGCTAACTGAATTAGCCCTGCTTCCCATGCTCTGTGGCTTTTCACCATAAACGTTTTCCCCGTAGTTCAGTGGCTGCTCTGAGAGAGCCGTCCAGAGCACTTTCACCAGAGCTATTTTTTCATTCTAACATTTTGGTCAACACCTCGTTTATGTAATAGTGGAAAGGGAAGGAAATCATATCCTAAAGAGAAAACTCCTACAAGATGCTGGACATTTTACATATGTGATGATGATTAAGAGGATTTGAGAATTATAACCCTCTCCATTAAGTGATTAAGGAATGACCAAATTCAAATCACAAATATTGGGTTCTGAAAACAGAATGTAGTTTTATGTAACCGATTTAGCAGTCCCTTTTGTGGAAACAAGGCCCTGAAGCATTTGAAGTGCCCGCCCTGGGCTTGCTGGAGTCCAGCAGAGCCACTGGGCTGGGAAGGGAGAGCTCACACAGAGATTCGTGTCACAGAAACATGCCTGTGTTTGCCTAATATCCACACTTCTGCCCTCACAGAGGCGCAGTCTCATTTATTCTCCAAACTGAATGGCGGAGGCAGCCACTCATCGCGGTGCATACGGGACACTGTTGTGCCGGTTTACGGAGCGCTGTTGCTTGTCCTCTGATGATCGAAGCGAAGTAAAGACGGTTCTGAATCTGTGGCTCCCTTTCTGTTTAGAATGGCAGATAGCCGCAGCCGCACGTACCCGCTCACGGACTTCTGGTCCACAGACACAGAAGATACCACGGACCACCCACTCTGTCAGACAGCTAAGGGGCCCTAAACCCAGGCACGACAGAGCTTCAACCTCCAAAAGGTTAAATCAAGTACGTAGCTACTGTGATGGGGCTGTGAGGGACCAAGCACAAGGGAAATGACGGATCTTCAGATTACTGTTGAGAATCAAAGTTTGTTGTTTTTTTTTTTAAGTGGATCTAATGCTGAAATATAACATAGTTAAAAAACTGGGAACCATATTTTCCTTGAAATTTTTTGCATCCCACTATGGTACTTAAAATAATTGAAAAATAAAAGTAGAACCACTTTGAAAATTCCAAAAAGAGTTGATTTTTTTTTTTTTTTTTGTTTTCTGGTACCGGGAACTGAACTCATAACCTTGCGCTTGTCAGGCAGGCACTGTGCCACTGAGCTAAAACCCCAGCCTCCAAGAGTTAATTTTTAAACCAAAGAAATAAGACGTGATTTAATAATGGAAGTATCATTGGAGATGTGTCTTGAATACTTGTGTGTATAATATATCTACGTCATAATTTAAAATGGTAATTTTACATATATTATCTTACTTGTTAGGATGAAACAAAGGCGGTCCCTCCACGCAGGAAGGACTCCGTGAGCGAGGGCAAGGACCAGAAATACCAGGCATTTTTCATGCACAAATCGGAGGTTAGTGAGCATTTACTATGCTCCAGGGATAAAGTAGAGGATTCTGAAGCTCAGATAGGTCACACTGTCTGCAGGAGAGTTCAGCACAGTTGTCTGGAAGGTTATGCCTCAGGTGTTATCAGGAGAAAAAAAAAGGAAAGTTACACCAGTACCACTTTGAAAGGTTCTTAAAACTAAGCTATGGTTCGGTATTTAATTTAGAGATAATACAGTATTACTGAAGAGATGGCCCTGTGCAAAGATCCTGATCAAGGTTGAGATTATGATTAATTTACAACAATTTAGGAAATCTATTTAGAGCAAGAAGAAATGAGAAAGACCTTAGATAATGAAGAAGGACCAGGCAGGAGATTATACGAAATATGAGAGGATGTCGGCAAAAACATGGGAGGGATCTTTGGTAACACTAGAGAGAGAATTAAAGAGGATGAGCAAAGGACTCAGCTGAAACAAACCACATAGGACACTGACTTGTTTGAGAGGAAAAGAGAATCTTTGCGATGGGCCACGCTGAGTCTGAGACACCGGCAGGATGCTCAGGGACATGTGTTTAGCAGGCAGGTGGACACTGGGGGCTGAGGTCTTCAGGTCCTAGTGACGAAGATATGTTTAGGGGCTGTCTGCACAGGAGTGACTATTAATCTATGGGATTGATCAAGGCATCGGAGACAGCAGGCATAGAAGAAGGAAAAAGAAATACTCCTGGGGAACACTTAATATTTACAGGATAAAGCAGAAAGAGAACACAGGAAGACAGAGGAAAAGAGTGCAGGGAACCCATCAGAGGCAATGTGCAGAGGAGCAGGAAGCAGGAGTCTAAGGGGAGGTCAGGGGACTGTAGACTGAGAGGAGCTGGGCTAGTGTATCTAGCACTTGAGAGGTCACCGCTACGCTTGGCAAAGAAACTTTAGTGGGGCCGAGAATAGAAAAGTCAGCAAACGTGGGAACAAAGCGTGAGCAGCTACACAGCAGGGAGACAGACTCCAGGAACTGTGATGGAAAGACACTTTATTAATGAGGAATTCAACAAAACATTCAGGTGTGCAGCTAGAGGTTAACACAATAAGGTGCATCAGCCCTCAGAGGTAGAGGGAAAGAAGAAGGCGTTTAGGAGAGGTGGTGAATCTACAAAGAATCCCTAGACCTTCTCTTCACCGATGCCTAGGGGCACAAATCACCTCTCCTGGTATGACTCATACCTTTCTATCTCTTGACCTAACCTCTTCCCGAGCTCAGGGCTATATATAAAATGACCTCCTAGACAATTCCAGCATGGTGTCTGAAAGGCACTTCCCATTCAACCTGCCCAAGCCAAATTATTGACCCTGTCCTGCAAAAATGTCACCTCCAGCTGTTCCTATGTCGGGTCATCAAAGTCAGAATGTGAGGTCTCACCTCCATGCTCCTGTTGCCCTCAACCCACCCCACTAGAGTTTTAACTGTCTTCCAAAATATGCCGTTTTCTCCCTCTAGTATTTAGACTACCATTAGAGGGACTTGTCAAAATCCAAGTCTGAGCATGTCCAGCCCCGCTCAGAACCCCCCAGGGCTTCCTCATGGGCAGGCCCCACTCTGGCAGGACAGTGCAGGCCCGGGGTTGTGCCTGCCCCCCAGCCTCACCATGAACTCTGTCCCCGCCCACGCACCCTAATCGTTCGCCTTCCCTTCACTCCCCGTACTTCCGGCTCTGTTCTACCCGTGTGCTCTGCGCATGCTCTTCCACCCGCCTGGCAGCCCCTTCCCAGCGCCTTCTTTACCTGGCTAACTCCCACTTCAGACAGGATAGAAGACAGTGTAGGTGAGTGGCTGAGATCCCTCTCAAACCGAGCTCCAGTGCCCGCTCCTCTAGTCACCAGCAGCTGTGTGACCCTTGATGAGTTACCTGCTCTGTCTAAAAATGCTTCCCACCTCTACGGCAACATTAAGCCCACACCTCACAGGGCCCACTCACACAAAGCACTGACATCTGGGCCTAGCTCATAATAACCATGCGGTAAGTGTCAGGTATTTTGGGTTTTCCTTCTTTCCAACCTTAAGTCTGTCCCTGGAGAAGTCTTCCCCGGCCAGATCACCACCCCTCAGTCCACACTGTCTGTCCCCTTAGTGTGGGCCACGGCTCCCATCGTAGATTTCATTTTGCATCTATGCACAAGATTTTCCGATTAAACCTGCCTCATCACTAGGTTGAAGGTTTCTTCAGAGCAGAACTTGGCCTACTTTTCTCCTGCAGAGAGCACAAACCCCAGCGCACTGCCAGCATCTAGCAGAGTGGACGCTCAAGCAGCCTTTGTTTAATGAATGAATGAGCAGACAGGCCACCCACCTGTGGCTGGAATCCGGGAGGGTTTTGCCCTGTGCAGGACAGTCCAGCACTGTGTCATTCGGTCATTTCGTCCTCACACGAATGCAGGCCGATGAGCTGTGTGTCGTCTCATGCATGCATGCCAGTGAACTTTGAGGATCAGTATTTGTTTTTTAAAAACCAGGTGAGTCCGGGGCAAAATTCATGTAGACACCACTGACCAAAGACACTGGGTCATCTATGGCTGAGGTAGAGGAAGATGGTGGTGAAGATGATGGTGGAAATGGTGCTCATCTTGTAATTAACAAGGCGTGAATATGAGCACATTAAACCCTAGAGGAGCCGGCCTAAGGTGTGGAGAGCACAGAAGCCCCGGGAGGTCATCTCATATGCCCAATGAGAACACTGAGAGCGAGCCGCTCCCTGTGGCCCGGGCCACTTCTCTGGTTGTAGACACATCACAGATCTTCTGACCGGGACTTGTGAGCTCCGTGATGCTCCTCTTCCGGTGTTGTGACACCACTTCCGCTCTCTTCTGAGGAGGGCCGCTGAGTCGGCTCGTCTTACATTGGGAACTAATTCTCTTGGCATTTGCTAATGGGAGAATACTAAGTCCATGAGACATTCCTACACAACCCTTGAGAAATACGAGGCAAAGCAGATGAAAGCTCCCGTTCCTCCAGATCACCCTCACTGTGGCACGCAAAGCCTTTGATTAATAGATCCCTTTCCTTCTAACAACAAAATGTCCATTCCTTTTTTGGAAGTTTGGCAGGACTAGGAGTGAATGATAGCCTCTGTGTTGTCCCTGTAATTTAAACCAACATAACCAATGGCCTTTCTTTCACTGAGCTCCTAGTAAAGGTAGCAAGCCAAAAGGCCCATGGTACAATCCCTTTCCTGGTCATTGTGTTAACCAGTAGTTCAATGCCTTGAGGATGAAACTGAACAAGCTTTATATTCTTTTAGAGCAGATAAGGAAAATTAAAGTCTCCTTAGCACTCACAGCTTCTGATACATTCCATTGTATTCTAGGACTCTTCACCCCGGGAGCCCCAGTCTGTCTCTGGCAGACTGTTGTCTTAGCTGAAACAGTAAAAGTGGAATTAACCAGCTCAACATGGTAACACTGCGACTAGCGATGGAAACCTTGCACTTCTAGAATTTAGTGAGCCTTTTTAAAGAAATCAATTATTGTCTAGCAACTCCACGATTAAAGTACTTTAGAGTTCACAAATGTGAAGACATGCCTGGGGGAAAAGGGCTTATGTCACAGAAGGGGGGGAACAACTGATTGTAAAGCCATGTCTATGCTGATCGTAAGTATATGAAAATTAGACAGCATATTGGCAGTAACTGGGAGGAAACGTTAAAACAGCTGGTTTTAAGAATGGCAAGATTAGAGACATTCTTTTCTTTCATTTTCTTTTCTCACTTGATTTCTGCTTTTATTGCAACAATATTGCTCTGCCATACAAGGTTGTCAGCTAAATATCTAGGTTATACTTAACATATGGAAAAATCATAATTCACCTAGAGTGAATTAAAAATTATATTCTACCTTAAAAATGAAAGTGGACAATATGAAGCTTCCTTACCCTATCCTTTAAAACTATTACTTATTCTATGAAATAAAACAGGGAGCAACTTCCACTACAGTTCTTAAAACTGGCAGAAATGAATTTCATTTATCTCATTTTGGTATCACTGATAACAGCCTCAAAAATTTTATTTTCTTCCATGAGAAATGATAAAACAAGATAATTTTTTTATGAAATCTTCTTTTTGAACCTCTCTGGGAAAATCACCACACATTCGAGGAGTCCTTGGTGGGTTAGGCCAAAAGACAGTTCACCATGTATCTGCCTGAGAGTACAAGCACTGAAATACAGAATTCTGGGAAGGTGCAAAGCACCAGATTAGAATCACTAAATTGCAAGTCTGCAAATTCAACTCAGAAAATAACCATCCAGTTCCCCTGATTCTTGGCCCTTGCCTCACCCCACACCGGCCTACTGCCAATTAACCCCACTGAATTTAGGGGTAGATTACGTATCACACTGAGTGGTCATTTCCTTCTGTCCAGATATTTCCATTTACTTTTTAAATTAAATCTATCCATGACAGTTGATCGTCTCCCTTCTGGAAGGCCACTAAAAGGTTAAGAGTCCATGGGTAACTTTCACTTTATCAACCTTTGAGCTGGGGCCTCTCCTTGCACACCTTCCATGCAACTCAGTCCAACAGAAATGTCTCCAGCTGAGTGGCTTCCCAGAGCTGCTGCGTCAGCAAGCTCTACCAGGAGGCCATGGAAACACTGCACTGGCCCTCGAATGCTGTGTCTGATCCACTGGTGAACGCAGTCCATGCTGGACTTCTAAAGAGTTCAGTTAGGAATCACTGGACGGTGTGTTCCTAACCTTCCTCTGCATGTGACTGCTTATACTTAGTGAGAGTTATCTGCTACAAAAGCAAATGAATGCAGAGCTGCAATAATAAACAGTCTCCTGAAGTACAGATGAAGTACCCGGTACTGGTAAACTGACTCTCACACGAAAGACAGTGAACCTCAATCTGGGAATGACCTTTGAAAAGGAAGGGACGGAGGAGCTCCAGTTTAGGATCAGAACTAAACCTAAAGGCAGGGCTGATGCAGACTATGGGGATAAAGCCTCAGGAGCAGACCAGGGCTATTGGAATAGTTGAACTGGCCTGAACCAAGGCAATGACCGTAGACGTGGAAATGCATCAATAACAGAGTTCAAATGGACAAAAGGATGCGACGCTGGTGCAGATTGGTGAAGGAAAACACAATGTACAGACAGATGTAAGAAGATGCTGCACTTCTAGGCCTAGAGCATTTGTCTGAGGGCTGACATCAGTATCTCTTAGGAACCAGGAGAAACAGGGGCATGGAGGCAGAGACACTGGGTTTAGTTTTCAATACATGTGTTTGAAACTGTCAGGGGACCTCCCTGGGGAAGGGCCCAGCAGACATTAGGAAACAGGATCTGTCGGTACAGACTTTGATACTAAATCCTGGTCTGCCAGAAAGATTGAGTGGCTTGGGTGAGACCCAGAGACTTAAGCTTCTGGGCCTTCTACTTTCAATATCTGAAAAATGAAAGCAGTAATTACATTGTAGGATTTTGTGAGTAGTAAATAAGATCATGTGTGAAAAGCTTAGGGTCTGACACACGGTAATCAAAAAAATGTATACTCCTTGAACCACTGTATTAATCTCTCCCAGTTTCATTGCCTCTTTATTTTTTCATTCTTCTTCTGTTAGTTTGTATGATACTATCTCACAGAAGCCTTTGACCGTCCTTTCTTCATCCAGCCCATGCACCCTCTATCCTGTTACTCTGCTGTTATTTTATTCACAGAACGGAGTTATGAGAAATGTGTGTAACATGTATGTTTGCATTCGTTCCTCTGTTGCACCCTCTTCAGCTAGCATGTCAGTCTCTCCATAGCGTGTTTCCTTATCCCCGCCCCATTCTCAGGTGTGACGTAAAGTGGGCACTCTGGAAGAGTTGTCGAAGGAGTGAATGACTTTACACAGAAGTACCATGAATTGTTAGACATGAAGTGTATTTCTTCCCCAGTAAGACAAAACAGCCTCTCTCAGATATCTGATCCCATCCTGTTGCTCTACTGTAACTGGGACGTCACTCCGAAGTGAGCAATTAACCTTTCTGGCCTCCATTGTCTTTCTGACTGTAAAAGAGCCCCAGCTGTACTCTCTCACTGAACTCTGGCAAGTGCCTGTTGTTTAAAAAGAGGAAGACACTCTCTTTAACTGTTCAACCCATCATAAAGACGGCAGGTAGAGGTGGAAATGGCATAACTGAAATCCCTGGAGTCACATCAAGCCACTGGACTACGAATCCCCACATGGCCCTGAAACAATAGTACATCAGAATTTCCTCCAAACTACAATGATAATGTAAATCCCAGGATCATAGTTCAGTGTGGTAGTTCCTAAAATATTACAAAAAACAAGGCCACTCCCCAAATGGATTAGTAATCACGAAGAGAAGGCACCATGCCTTCTGCCAAAGAGTGAGCAACACCTAAGTCCCCAGGCTCCTGGCCTCCCTCACTCCCTGAGCACCACCAGTGGATGGCCCTTTGGTACCTAGGAGCCCGCTCATAGTTACTCTCAAAGTGTTTTGACATATACCCCACTGAACTGCGGAGGACAGCTGAGTCCTGAGTCTCACACTAGGCCCAGCAAATGGAAGGTAACTTTGTAAGTGTGCAGGTGATGGTTCAGCTCAGGAAAGTTGTGACTAAAACATTATCTTTGCTGGTTACACACCTTCTGTGAAGACTCTGTTAGAGCAAAAGCATCGTAATATCTCCTTGTGCCTGACATAGGGATTAAGAGAACCGATCTTTCACTTAGGAAGCCCCAAGTTATTTTGACTTTGTCACTCAATAGTTGTGTAACCTTAAGCAGGTTATTCTAAACCCTCAAGGACTTTAGTTTTTAGTTTCTAAAATGAGGATGATAATCCTACCTTTAGAAGACTGTGGGAAGGATAAAGGAAACAAAGGAAAAAGCTAAGCATGCTCAGGGACTGCTATGCTCAATACGCATCAATGGCCATTAAAAATGGATAGTCACTGATATCTGAATCTAAATTATTTCTTTTTAATTCATCTGGAAAGTATTGATCAGGCGTTTGCTTGCAGCCAGGCATTGTGCTAGGCGCTAGAGGTACATCAGAAACGTGGGAGGCTGATCCCTGCCCTCACACAGTCGATTGGTGGGCTGGCAATTTCAGTGCAGCAAAATAAGAGATGGAGCGGGGAGATTTCCGAGTACATGGATTCGTCCTTGAAGGCGTGGCAAACTCAGACCCGGGCATCAGGAAGGCCTCTTGGAGGAAGTGATGCTTAAACTATTGTCCAGAGGGCAGGGAGAGTGGAGAAAAGCAGATCCTACATAGAAGGAACACTATTTACAGATGCCCCAAAACAGAAAACAAAGGGTACTTCTAAGATTGTGTCAAAGATCTTGTACTTTAATCTGAGGGCCATCAGGAACGTGAGAAAATTCTGAGCCCAAAGTGTACTATTGTTACATTCATGTTTTACAATGATCAACCCGATTGTAGTGTCAAACACACATTAGGCAAGTAAACCTCCTGAGTCTGTGAAAGGAGGCACGCTCCCACAAGGATGTGGGGTGAGGGACAGATTCTAAAGAAGTTTAGAAGAGACAGTGGCAGGACTCAGCCATTGATTGGAAGGCAGATGAGAGAAAGAGATGGACAGCAGGTTAAATGACAGTGCTCTTCACCGACAGGAAGCTCGGAGGAGGAGCGATCTTTGAGTGTTCAGTGTCCCAGAAGGGAGTTTGGGATGTCTGTGGAGCTCTCCAGTGAAAATATTTAGCAAGAAGCTGACTAATGTGACGGGGATACTCTCCGGTAATCACTACTGTTGTCACAGCTACCTTCCTTTGGTCTTCTGAACTGGCACCACGACACAACAGGACTTCTCTCCCTCCAGTGGACCGAACTCATTTCTGCCTCCACCCTTCACATTTGTATCTGCCCTTCCCTCTACCAGGGTCCTCTGCAAGCAGGCGGCTGCCTTCCCTTACTTAATTCAACCTAAACATCGCCTTCAAAGGGGCGGGGGGGTCTTCCCTCCACAGCTAACCTAAGTACTTCTCACAGACAATCTCAGCCACTCCGCCCCATGTAGCACCTTCACTGCCCTTGTTACAGTGGGGAGTGACCTTGTTCTTTTAGTCATTTGCCATTTTCTTGTTGTCACATTCTACATCTGCACTGTCCAATAACACAGCCACTAGCTGTTTATGGCTTTGTAAGTTTAAAGTAATTAAAATTAAATTTAACAAGGGGTAGAGATGTAACTCCAGTATAATTAGAAGAAATGCACAGAAAGATGGAGCAGAAGGCTCTGGGACAGGACATCACCAAAGCTACTCTCCAATGATCTCTTCTCTTCTGGGACGCAGGCGAGAGCATACACTGTGAGTAAGGGGGAGGCAGGAGAGCTGTGGAATCGCTTCCATTAAAAAAATTGACAAGGTTTTATTTAGACTCAGGGGTACACAAACCCCCAAAAGCCTGTTCAGTTCTCCTAAATAAGAAAACCAAAACTTGCCCTCATCTCATTGACTGAAAGAGTAGAAATACAAAACACTGGCCGAAGCCAACTCCTGCTGGGTGACACCGGAAGAGGGATCTGGCCTCAGGAGAAGGATCACGAGGCAGCACCTCCGGCTCAGCTGATGCTGAGGCCCCTGAACTCTTACTGATGTCCGTCAGCAACTTCCTGGAAATGGCTGGAAAATCTCTTATTTTCATTGAACTGTTTAACACATCAGGCCTTTCGTAATAAGAACTTGACCTCATCCTCCTGTGAACATGAGGAAAGAAGCAAACACCCAGCAGAGAGTGAGGGAAAAGTGTAGTAAACACGGCCGTGTTTATGGGACTTTTCAGACCCTCAAGTGCATAAAGTCTAAGGCAAGTTTGTACCATTTTACACCCTCTTTGGGTCTTTTTCATTCAAAGAAAGTTCCCGGTCTTGCATTTATAGGTACATAAGAGGTT